GCTCAGGCAATCCACTCACCTCAGCCTCCCAAAGGCGCGGGATTACAGGCTGAGCCACCGAGCCCGGCTGCTTTTCACTTTTTATTCAAAAAAAATATTGGCTTTATCATGTATCTCTTCATTTTCGGAGAGACAGAACTTTTCTGCTACAGCACTCCAGCCATTTTCTGAACCATATGCTGAGCATGTACTGAATCTATAGGTTTCTATGCAAGTAAAACAAATACTTTATCTGAGAATGCAGGCTACCTAAAATATCTCTTTACTTCTTTGGCAAAAACTCAGCTTGAGCTCTTTCCTTCCCACCTACCCCCATACTCAGCATACTTGCAGAGCTTGTAGAGGACAGAAACCTTCTGTGTCTCACCCTAGAATGATGGCCCTGGAGTGATTGAGGGGAGAGCAGGGCAGAGCAGAGGACATCTCTGAACGCGGGGAGCTGCTTTACCATAGGGACAGAAAGATGTGACCTGAGGAATTACAGAAAGTCTGCAGGAAGAGCCCTAGATAGCCTAGGGGAAGTGACAGAGATTGAAGGCAGGAGGCTGAACTCCAATCCCAGCTCTCTCACTCACCACACCTGTCTACTTCCCACTGGACTTCCATCCAATAGGACTTCAGTGGATCTCTCAGGATTGTTCCAGAGATGACACGGGCTGACTTCTCTATTTTCTTAATTTAAGGGGTTTGTCCCCCTCCCCACCCCAGAATAAGTGGTATTCCAGAAATTCTAGAAGCCTCCCTTGTTTGATGAGCTATCCTTTTATGTCCCTGGAGGATTCTGAGAAGGCTTGTGATAGTGGAGTTACAGGAGGTGTCAGTGTGTGGTGGAGAGAACAAGTGAAGATAAAGTTACTGGATGTGGAGAAAGAAAGTCATGTGAATTTTACCAAGGGCGGGAATACATTTAGTCCACACTGACTTGTTATTTTTCAACTCTACAAGTTCTGTAAGTATGCCGAGTGTGTGTGTGGTAGGTGGGAGGGAAAGAGCTCAAGGTGAGTTTTTGCCAAGTAGGTAAAGAGTTATTTCATGTAGCCTGGGTTCTCAGATAAATTATTGGTTTTACTTGCCCAGAAGTAAAGAAGAGTAAAGAAGTAAATTCTCGTTTGTTCAAAATATTCCCAGGCTGGTTAACTCTCAGGAATAACACAACTTAATTTTAAACTTCCTGGGCTGGCCACTCCCTACATATCTATCCATTGAGCTATTAATGATTATTTTATTTTTTATTTTTTGTTTTGCTACATTATTCATTTCAGTGATGTCCCCTTGTGTTTTTAGATGTTGGCATTGTTTTCTGACAGAGACTGAGTTTGGGAACCACAGTTGGTGAGTAATGAACATGGAGTCTTTCTCAAGTTAGAAAACAAGATGGTAGAAAACCTATTTATTTACTTGTGTATACATTTTGAAGAATGCACAAGTTGGCCTAAGCAAGATTTATTTATCCTGTATAGTTAGTATGCAACTCAAATGCCTGATGTCCTCTATTTTCTAGCTTTGTATCCTTAAAGCCTGTTTCTTGTTTGACCACATACTACCCTGCTTGCTGAAATCAGCATCTCTTTCAATATCCACTACTCCCAAAGAATCTACTCGGAGAAAGAGTTAAGGAGAAATGTACACTTTACTGAATATTTCACAGAGGAGACCCAGGAGGAGGAGGGTGACACAACAACTGCTCAGCAAATGACTTAAAAATTTCCCTTAGCCATTTTGGTTCTCCCAAGTTCTCTCATTCATGCCACCATTGATGAGTTTTTTCTTTTAAATCTTTTCCGGCCTTTGTCTGACAAACTTTGCTGGATTCATACTCTTTTTTTATTCTCTCTTCATTCTTGAGACAATTGCAAATTTTGCTCCATTCTTTTTTATAGCAGTTAAAGGTCCATCTTGGAAGTCCTTCTCCCCATGTGCAGGGTTAATCGCTCTGTGAAGACTTAAGAGCCCTCCATTGAACTGGTTTTCCAAGAGGTGTGTGAAGCAGAAATATATTATGCAGGAGATACAGCAGCTATTTCCTGGCAAAATGACCACATTACCTCAACCACTGCATGCTGGTTGAGTGTTTGCTGAACACGTGTCACTTTCCTGACCAGAAATGAAAACTGTCTTATTGTGAATCTTAACTGAATGGAATCAGACCCGGTCAGATGGTTTTCCAAATCCCCAGATGGCATTTTAGATTCCTGATGGTCAGTTTGGTAGTCCTATCCATTATATCTTTTAGATCCTGCACTGTTTGGCAAGGCACCCTGACCCTCGTCCCCATGTTCTGACTCTGCTGAGGTAACTTGCAGCAGATGCTACTGGTGCCATTGGTTTTATACTGGTGTGTGGTGCCTTAATTTGGTTGGGGGCTTCCAGAATTCTGCCTGGAATCTTAGCTTCCGGATCTGGTCTTTTGAGATGAAAGAGACTTTGGAAAGATTCAAAGCCACCTCCCTCATTTTTTAGACCTAGATCCTGAGTTCCAGGAAAAGGGAGGTATGCTGAGTTCTTGTAATTGTATGATGCCTTGGCATCCATTTTGAATGCAAGTGTAACTTTCTCAGACCAGAAGCAGGGCTTAATCACCCTTAACATAGTTATCAGTTCTATACCACACCCAAGTGACTCAAACCAGCGGCCAGACCTAAGAACTCTGAGGCATCTTTTCTCCAGCAAACTGTACTCCCAGCTTTCCCTCTGCTTCTTTTAAACAGACTATTCAGACATTTGCCAGTGAGCCATCCTATTTCCGTATATATACTACTAGGTGTCTTGTTCTCTCTCTCTGCCTGACTCTTCATTCTTGCCTCGTGTGACCTGGGGATAGAGGCCTGACCTCCTGACTCATTATGCTCTCCTTGCCCAGAGTCTGTTAAGTCAAAATTTCTGAACTTGTTTTTCATTGTGGTGGTGTATTGAATTTGTGCCTTCCATCTGAAGAATGAGGGACTGCCCCAGGCCAGGTTTTCTCCAGGGGTATGGGTAGGGGGAGCACGAGGTCAGGCTCCCAGTACCAGAGTGATGGTCAGGCAGGCATAAACTGGACACAGGTCAGACAAGAGTCACAAGGGCATCTGCCAGTATAAACAAGTTTCCTGTGTGAAAGATTCCCTGGTTGTTGGCTGGACAACTAAGCATTAGGCCACCTGCCAGACAAAAGAAGAATCCATGAAAGGCAAACCGTAGACATCCACACCCAGCTCCCCTTCGTTTCCCATTAGGGCAGGGTTGCTAGCTTCTCTGGTACTAGAACCCTAATTTATCTGGGGACTCTCAGAATAGAAAAAGTGAGTCAAGACCATACAGTGAATTAGTGGCTGGGCTGGAGCATATATCCATCCCTTTTGATTCTATGCGGGGCTGTGTTCACCACACTACATTGCTTCCCTGCCTACTTTCTGAAAGATACTCTCTTTTTTAACCCTGGAGCTGTATCTTCCCAAGAGACAGAAGGGAAAGTATACTGTTTAATACCTTTTGTGGTTTCAGTCTTGACCTAAAGTTTTTATTTTTGCCCAAGTGATTGGATGGATGAAGTACTGTATGGTAGAGAGTTGCTTTCTTCCTGAAGGCCAAGAGAATTGTTCAGTCTTAACTACTGTATAAGAAGATGGACAACACATTCTCAAGAGGAAAGGTGTTTGTATCCACAAACTGAAATTTCTCCACGTTGACTGATATGGTGGTGTTGACCTTCAGATAATCCAGCAAGAATTGAGAGAGATTCTGGTAGATGCTCTTGGTTGGCATTCCAGATTCACACACTGTCACCAGAGCCTGTTTTTTGACCTCTTTGTTGATGAGAAGTTCCATCTTCAGGTCTACAGAATGATTTGGACATTGCACAAGAAACTGTAGTTGGCAAATGATGAAGTACCAGCCTGGGAACTGTATCACCAGATTCCCATCCTGATATGTGACTCCCTGGACAATGCCATCTTTGTTCCAAGACAACTTGGTTTGGTTTAGATGCTTTGATACTGAGGACAAAAGTGTAAAAAAAAAAAAAAGAAGTATTGAGCAAACTGTAAGTACAGATTGGAAAACTCTAAGTCTTTATTCAAAGTTCCCCATTCAAGACTCATGTGTTCTTTAATGCTGCCTACTGGTCAACCATCTGAATATCTTCCATGATACTCCTTCTAGGGTCTAATTATTATTGAAGACACAGGTAGAAAATTTCCCCTTTTCCTTTTCTTTAATGCCCAAAGTTGAAGGGTCAGAACACACACATGGTACTGTACTTCTACCTCCTATAAAATAGTTTTCCACTTAATCATTATCATATTATATTTTATTATAATTTTATTTTCCTTTTCAGACTGTAAGCACCTGGGTTATATTATTCATTAGGTATGGACTATCATATTAATTCATCATGAATGGGCATTTGGTGAGAGACTTATTGATAAGCATTGCAGAAAGTGTCAGAGATAGGACATTCAATAATATTGTTCAGTTAATAACCAGTTTAGGTACCAAGATGTCCGAGAGAATCTCTGTTCACTTTCACATTAAGATGTATCCTCTAACCATTCCCTGTCTGAATTTTTGAATGTCTACTTTCTTTAAAAGGGCAGCCACACTAATTGTGCAGATTCTTCATGTGCACATAAAGGGTCTCTGCTTTTCTTATACAGAAAAGCAGAGAATTAGCAGACCCTTGAAGCCGACAGATTTGTGTCTGAACCTAAGTCTCTGAGCCCCAACATGTGAAAATGAGTACTGACTGGGAAGGTGCTTTTCAGAACTGGGAGGGTGGCATGCTAGTTTTAATTGCTTCCGTGCTTTCCCTTTAAACCTCACTCCAATTCAATTGAAGAGTGAGAACTAATCTAACTGCAAAATTGAATTTTTAACATGAGCAGAATGGCTATTCAGAGAACCTTGGCCATCTCCATATCTCATTCTTCTGCAGTCTAAGTGACTCTTATTGTTTCATTTATAAGGGACCTGAAGCAGACTTACCTGAAGCATACTGCAATATGCAAATAGTCCCTGTGCCAACATGTTCATTAAGCTGTCAATCCAGGGACAAGGCAATTTTGTGGTTCCCTTGTGAATAACTTCATACAGGCAGAGATGAAGAGCCTGCCTCCCTTGTATTAGGAAAAGGACTGTGCACATGTCTGAAGCTGGTTGGTAGCAGAATGAGAGGGAGACTGAAGGGTGGCTGGTGGTGGTGGCAGGAGGGACACAAATGCCCTCAGGATTTAGGTAGGCAACATAAAGGAGTAGATGGACCTGAGGAAAGAGGAGCTTTGCAGATCTGGAGGGTAATACTCTACTTTCCTTGTAATGGCATTAAAATTCAAATTATATATATATCTATATAATTCAAATTTTAAATATATATATTTTAAAACACTCCTGAAAGTCACATTAGGCCATGGCCTCTAATTGTGACCTCTGCCTTAGTAGTTTCTAAAAGGTTACCAGAAGTTGTCCTTACGTGTTTAGAGTTCCTGAATTTTACTACTGACCTTGGAGATAGGCCCATGACTTCTTGAATGGAGCCCTTTTCAGGATACATAAGAGATCCTCTGAGCAATTTCCTAAAAATAAAAAAATCACACGTTAAGTGGTTTTTTTGTTTTTTGCTGTTCTAGGAATTAGAGACACCAATTTCCCCCCCTATAACTCTTAAATGGGGACAGCTACCATTCTATTTCCATTTTAAGAATAAGAGGAAATCCTCCTTATTTTTCATTTTGCCATCAAGTATCTTAGGACTTTAAATTTTTAAAATTTACTTTTTATTGGTTGCTTCCATTTGGGCTTTGAGAGAAGACTGTGGAAGTCAGGGAAGGAAACAAATATGATCTAAGTTACTGTCATGTGCCAAGAGCCATTCTTGACTATCTACATGTAGCACCTCACTTAATCTTCACAGCAGCTTTGTGAGAGAGGTATTGTTAAGTCCTTTTTACAAATGGGAAAAAACTTGGTGTCCAGGTGGGTTAAATCCATTGTCCCATGTCACCCAGGCAAGCAGTGATAGTAAGAAAAATAATGGTGAAAGTAATTCTTGCTGTCTTACCTACTGGGAACCACATATCAGTCTGGGTACTTTTACCTACACCAGCTAATCTAGTTTTCGGACTAACCCTGAGGGGTTAAACCTGATGCCTGGAGATGGTCAATGCCGTTTGTGAAAATGCTGGGATTGCCCACGTTTGTCTATTTACAGAGTGCAGGTCTCCTCCTTTAGGCTACTTTGCTAGACAATGAAGATAAAAACATCTTTGTGCTCAATTTTAAGAGGATATAGGTTTAAATATAGTAGGAGGCCTACTAGCTGGAGCTTTTTTGGTAGAGGCAAACACAACATTTATGTCATTATGGTATTTAAGAAATAAAAAATTTTTTAAAAATATATTCACCAGTGGTGGTGGCTTTGCTTTTTCTTATTATGATAGCTATTTTGTATGCAAAGATTCAAATTATATATTTCCTGCGATGACTCATGAATTCAACGTATTTGGAACAGCTCCTTCTTTTTGGCGGCTTGGTTTCCCTATCTGTAAAACTGGGAGATCTTTGACCTGACATGGACATCTTTTCAATATGCCACCAGAGATAACCATTTCATTCATCCATCAGACTAGGTAGCCATAGGCCCGTTCATTGGATTGGCCACACACTGGTATGTTTGCTCACTGTATTGCCAAGCAGCATCTGTTGGGCTCACAACCTTCCCCACTGCTCTTTCTGCCCAGGTCTGAGAAAGTCCCTCCTGCTATCCTTACAGCACCCTGGCGGGGCGGGGGAAGGGGATGCGGTCTAGGAGCAGTTGAAAGTTAAGTGAAGAGTTCCCTCTGCTGTCTGAACAAGCTCACTGCCAGAGGCAACTCCTGCAGAAGCAGGGGGCAGTTTTCATCCTGATCTGCACACCAGCAGCTTCTGATTCAAAGCTCCCCTTGATCGTGAGGGCAGGTGGGCCAGCTGCTACCTTCTCGATTTCATCCTCCAGCCAGTGTTCTTGTCCTGCCTGCTGTAACCCATGCACATACTCTTGGGGTGGGTAGAATCAGTACCCCAACGCTGAAGGTTGTTTATTCCCCTAATGAACTGTGACTACGGTTTGAGAATCGTCCTGCCCCAAACTCCTCTTTTTGAGCTGTAGAACATCAAGCCAGGGAGAAAAGTCTAGCTGAATCTCTTTGCTTGAAAGCCCTTTTTGCCCTTCTTCACCTGCAGGGTCAGACCCAAGCTCCTGAGCATGGCATTCATGCCCCCTGATGTTGTGATCCCTACTGGACCTGTGGTCTCATCCCTCATATTCCCTCTTCCGCCTTCCCTCTGTGCCCCAATAGAAATAAAAATAATAACGGGAGGAGGATGAACAGTGATAATAATGTTAATAATAATAACTAATACATGTTGAGTGATAGCTATTTTTAGGTATCTGCTAAGCTTGCTACAAGCATTATTTCATTTAATTCTCACAACCACCCCTTGAGAGGAGTACTATAATTATTTCTATCTTGTACATAAGGAAACTGAGGCTTTAAAAGGTTCAGTGGCTTGTTCACTTTCACACAGGTTGTCAGTGGAAAAGTGGAAATTCAAACTCAGGCTGTCTGACTAATGCCCAAGTGGATTGTTGACCACTCTGCTAGAGTTCGGGGGCTTGCAATACTTCCAAACACGCCATGTTGATTTGTCATGATCTTGGCACTTGCTGCCTCTTCTACCTGTACTTCCCTTCTTCACCCAGCAAGTTATTCCTTGTTTGAAACACTGCCTGGAGTCAATTCCTCCAGGATGCTGTCTCCGACTCTTCCCTTTGTTTGCCTGTTTGCCTCCTCCATTAGACTGGGACTTGAGGGCAGAGATAGCTATTTATGCATCTCAACAGCCTGGTCTAGAAGAAGCTCTGTACATTTTTGTTGAATGGAATCATCTAGTCCATCTCTCTTAGTTCCCTCTGTGGATACCAGGTAAGTACTTAGGGCTGAGTGAGGTAAGTGGGGATGCTTGGCTTGCTTTTCACCTCAGGGCTAGAGTAACACAGGGCCTCATTCTCCCACTGGTCTTGCAGGTCAGGTGAGATCAGATGGGAAGATAAGACCCTTGTTCTGGGCTGAGGTCAGCATGTCACATCAAGAACTGGCTCTGCTCATTGGCGGAAGGCTCCCTCACACCACACCACTTACAGCAGGTGAGCTTCTGTAAACAGGTGACTGTCGAAAGGCAAGCCCAGGCTTGACTCTCACACATGCAGGTTCTTTTGTTGTTTTTTTCCCCCTTTGGTCTTCTATGTTTAGTGGGGTGACCTCAGTTGTAATTCTGAGAAACTCAAGGATGGAAAAAAAAAACCCCAACTTATTTTGAAGCATTTGCATTTCCTGAAGTCAAGTGGCATGGCATAGTTTAGTTTTTCTTAGAGAATCTTTTAGATGGTTTCCCTCTAAAAGGAAAAATACAGGCAATCCTTTTTTAGAATGACGCTGCCAGGGGTGGTTCAGAGATGGGCTGGAGGCAAGACAGTAGAGGAGCTATTGAGGAAGTGGGCTGTTGAACTTGGAGAAGACCCCAGCAGAGGATTTGACAAGGCTGTCAGCAGGAAGATGGTGCAGCCTGCTCTATGGGCCCAAGCACTAAGCCTCCTAGAGGAAGCCGAAAGAGATGAAACCCTCAGTTAATGGCTAATAACACTGCTCACATCTCAGATGCAGAAATGGAAAGACCTATGTTAAGTACACCCAAGTTTCATGTAAGTCACAGAACTAGCAGCTCAAATATTTGACCAGTCAGTGCTGTTCAAAACCAGATGGGCTGCTTTGGAGGTCATGAGGCTCTTAAGAGCTAAATGAACATTTCATGGGTCATCAGACATGTGGCTTGAGGCTCCTCATCACCTTGTGAGTCCATGAAATGACTTTCTTTTTTTGGTTACAAAGACAGAAAAAAGTGACTTATAAAGAGATGGTGCTACCTGTAGCTGAAATCTTGCAATGTCCTTGAAATTTTGAAGATTGGGAGCATAGACCCTGCTCCCTGCTTCATTTGTTTTGAAGATGAGTGTAATATCTAGAGGCATTTAGGTTGAAGAACAAAACATGGGGAAAATGAGAACTGTCTAGAAGTCAGAGCTGAGTTTATGGGCTGAGAGTTAGAATCCTGGAATTTCCTTTCTCTGGGCTCTAATGTCCCTATCTAGATGAAGAGCAGTATGGATAGGACAATCTAGACAGTCTCTTCTGCTTATTTTAGAAGGCTCTGCAGACTCAGCTGTCTACTACAAGACCTGTGGGGGCGGGGGTGGAGGGAGGGAGCATTTGGGGATGTCAGGTCAGTCTCAGCTCCACATGTCTCCACATGATTCAGTTCTACATTATGCTATCTCAAGGATCTCAACAGAGAACCAAGTTTTATGAATGGGGAGACTGAACACAAGGAGACTAAGGGTATGGCCCAAGACCCCAAAATAGGCAAGTGGCAGAGCTAGGCTCAGAACATAGGGCTCCTTACTCCTAGTCCAGGACTCTGTCCCTGTCTTTTAGTCTTCTTATGGTTAAATGCAGGAAGCAACAGGTTTGGAGCCACCACAGATACTGGAAATGAAAACTGACAAGACAGCTGGAGGTTCTGAGAAAATAGGAACGGATGAGCCTCTGGGTTCCATCTTGTGGGAGAATGCCAGCAAGATGACTTCAGGCCCATGTACTGACTTGGCCCATGCCAAGTCACAAGTCAGGGGCACATAAAGATGCAATGATACTTAAGACAACTCTACTGAGCCAAAACGAACCATGCTGATCATTCCTGCCAGATGGCATGGGGCATGAGTGCCAGGTACCATCCAGCTCTACAGCACTTTTGATATAAGAACAAGACAGACATGATGCATCTAAGAAAGAGCACCTGGGTTCTGGTCAAAGCTTTTCACTTGAGACCTGTCACTTCTCCTGCTGAGACTCAGTTACTGCATCTGTAAAGTAAGAATTGTAATAACCAAATGTGTAGATGTCCTGAACATGCTATGACATTTTGGATGTCACATGACCACTGCAGCAAGTGGCTAGAGGAGACACTCAGCAAAGTAGTTTCTTACCCTTCTCTTCTTTGTCATCATAGTGGCACAGCTTAGCAATGCCACTTAGCAGAGTGAATTAGCAGATGACATGCTTATTGAAATGAAGTTCATGATATTATCTGGTGAACTGGAGTTTCTTATTTATGTACCTAAGTGTTTGAGGCCATCAGATGCTTCCAGAAAAGTATGTAGAGTACTCTTTTTATGTGTAGAAAATGCTTTAATCTTTCCAATAAAGTCAGGGATTATCCTGATGACTCTATATCGGCATGTCCTGGCTTCTTCATTCCAGCCCTCTGGGAGAATATCTAGGAGAACCCCAACAATGACATTTAGAGGAAAGTATCTCCCTTCTCAGTAGAACTTAGGATCAAAGCAAATCCTTAATCTAAGTAAAAGTCATTCCAACTAGCTTCAATTTGACCATTTCTTTGATGCCACCAGGCCAACTGGTGATGGAGAAATGAATTTCAGGATGGGCCATTTGTTAAGCAAAGGGTAACTAGGTGACCC